ACCCCACATTTCTGAGAGATTAAGAGTTTGGCTAAGGATTTTTACTTTACCAGGCAAGTGGAAATTTCCTGGTGAGAATGGTGCACACCTTCTTCTGCACAGGTCTGTGGAAACGTCAAGTAAAACATGTAAATCCCCTCACATTTGGATCCCAAGTCTAAAAGTGACAGTTAAGCATCCCAGGACAGAAACTATAGGCATGGACTGCCCAGGCCTAATGATAGCTTAGAAAGTTACCTTGGAAGATTCTAGCTCAGATCTTTGTTTTTTGAGACAGAGTCTCACTTTGGTGCCCAGGCTAGAGAGAGTGCTGTGGCATCAGCCTAGTTCACAGCAACCTCCAACTCCTGGGCTCAAGTGATCCTCTGCCTCCCGAGTAGCTGGGACTACAGGCATGTGCCACCATGCCCAGCTAATTTTTTCTCTATATATTAGTTGGCCAATTAATTTCTTTCTATTTATAGTAGAGACGGGTCTTGCTCTTTCTCAGGTTGGTTTCGAACTCCTGACCTTGAGCAATCCGCCCGCCTCGGCCTCCCAGAGAGCTAGGATTACAGGCGTGAGCCACCGCACCCAGCCTCCAGCTCAGATCTTGACATTCAGTCCCCTCCTCGTCCCTGACACTAAAACTAACTAAACAAACAAATAAGCAAGCAAACACAAAACATAGGAGTCTTGATGCTCAGCCAGGTTTGGCAACAATCAATTTATAGGATAATATCTTGATTCCCTGACACTATGTTTGAGGCTCTCAGAGACTTGGCTAGTCCTCTCTCCATCATTTCTCATTTTATCCATTCAAGCAGCCTACACTCCAGCAATACTTTATTACCATAACCATAAAGTATGCCTGTGCACATTCTGTCTTCTGTACCATGAGACAGACCTGGAATGCCCCCTGGAGACCTTTCCTTCCATATTAAGTCCCTACTTAGCTTTTCTCAGCTCAAATGGCGCCTCCTTGAAGCTTTGCTGACAACATCCAGTCCCACCTTTGCCCGGAACCTTCCTGTGCTCTATGTATCCATAGTATGTCAATCGTTTTTCTAGTACATTGTTTTGCTACAGGCAGTCTGAGGACTTCAAAGAAAGAATACTAAATATCAGCAAGTGATAAATCTGTGTAATGAGTACTTTCGTGTCTGTAAAATTATTCTCTACACTTTATTACACACATGTATATCTTTGTCATACTGTATTTTAAAATAACTGTTGGTGAGAGTGTGGGCAAACACGCACTGAAATACACTATTGGAGTCTTAAATTTCACAATCTTTCTGGAAGGCAAATAATATTCATGGGGCTTGGTGAGAGTGATGTTGATGATTGTGTAATTTTTTAAGAACACAAAACTCCCAATGTTTTTCAACAGATGCAAGGTTGGCATTTTGGAGTGTCAATTCTTTCCTGTGAGGTATAGACCACTCTCATTTCCAAACCATATAAGAAACCACTTGCCTTTAACTAACTTTTGGTATACTGATACAGTGAATGCTCTGTAGCCATTAAAATAAATGAGGTGCTTCTATGTACATATATAAATTATGTGTGAATCTGAGTGATGGACATGTTAACATAGCAGACACTCTTTTGCACTGTATTTAAGATTTAGGAAAACTATCACATTCATTTTTGTTTCTGCTTTAGCTGGAAGAAAAATCTTAAATCATTCATCCTGACATTACTAAGATGAACTGGCTTTCAAAGGGGAGGAACAACATTTTTTCTTTAAGAAAATCTTGCCAAGCTTTGAGCTGGATATGTTACATTAACTGCTACATATTTTAAAGCATTGATAATTTTCACAATCACCATTGTTTTAGGACTTCTGTTATCATATGAAAAATGTTTCAAGTTGAAATAAACACGGCAAAAAATCTTTAATGACCATGAAAAGAAGAGTAGCAAAAGTTTCAGAATTAGAAAAACTCTCACCCCCTAAGGGTTTCAAGGTTAGTGAACAATAGTTGTTTTTATAAGAAATATTCTACTTAGAAGCTATATATACATACACACACACACACACATACATCATATATTTAAAGTGAAAAAAGCAAGTAAGGAACCATATGCAGCATAATTTCACTAAAAATATAAAAATAATGTGTATTTTGCTACGTACACAAAAAAATAAAGCTATACACTAAACTGTTTTACTTCTTACATTACCAATGGGTTATTAATAGTATATATATAATATAATATATTTTTTTTTTTTTTTTTTTTAAGACAGAGTCTGCTTTGTTGCCAGGCTAGAGTGAGTGCTGTGGCGTCAGCCTAGCCCAGTAACCTCAACTCCTGGCTCAAGCAATCCTCTGCCTCAGCCTCCAAGTAGCTGGGACTACAGGCATGCGCCACCATGCCTGGCTAATTTTTTTCTATAATATTAGTTGCCAATTAATTCTTTTTTTTATTTTATGTAAGACGGGTCTCGCTCTTGCTCAGGCTGGTTTCAAACTCCTGACCTTGAGCAATCCGCCCGCCTCAGCCTCCCAGAGTGCTAGGATTTAGGCGTGAGCCACCGTGCCCGGCCACCAATGTTTATATTGTTGGAAAAATTTAAAAACAAGCAATTGATAAATATAATAGCAATTAAATGATATGTAAGATAAATTTTATATGTGAAGAACTGAAAATTAAATAAATATTTATTAGGCAGATCACTAAGTGAATGTTTTGATACCACCCCATGTTAGGGTTTGCCTGACTTAACTGACTTTAAGAATTGCCTGAGGTGACTCTTAATAAATGCAAATTCCTATACCATACCCCAGACTACAGAAGGAATCTGTGTACTGTTTTTTTTTTTTTGAGACAGAGTCTCACTTTGTTGCCAGGCTAGAGTGAGTGCTGTGGCGTCAGCCTACTCACAGCACCTCAAACTCCTGGGCTCAAGCGATCCTGCTGCCTCAGCCTCCAAGTAGCTGGGACTACAGGCATGGCCACCATGCCTGGCTAGTTTTCTTATATATATGAGTTGGCCAATTAGTTTTTTCTATTATAGTAGAGACGGGTCTCGCTCTTGCTCAGGCTGTTTTAACTCCTGACCTCAAGCAATCCGCCCGCCTCAGCCTCCCAGAGAGCTGCTAGAATTACAGGCGTGAGCCACCGTGCCCGGCCTGTGTACTTGTTTTTAAAAAATTGTTCTTGATGTGTTGTTTTGTTGCTATTGAATATATTTATTAGATAATTTTACAAAGTAATAACAAGGTGAGAAAAAACAGAAGCTCCACTAATTTCTAGATATCAAAATTTTGAAGTAACCTAACAATGAAGAATTTCCCTAAAGCAAGGAGAGGATTCCCATAATGGTTTGAAACATGTGTCCAAATGACTCTGATCTGCACCTTTGTTTAAGCAGCCCTGGGTCAAGATGGTAAGTTTCCAAGGCCTCATGAATTCATTACTCCAAGGAGGTGAGGAAACTACTATGTGCCAAGGAAGGAAAAGAGAGAGGAAGAAAATCAGCCAGATGTGTGTCCTGTTGCAGGTAGAGGCCAGAGGTTCACAGCAGGTCTGGGCCAACAGAGCACCTAGGCTGGGAAACTAGAGCTGGAGAATGGAGGAAGGACAAGGTAGGAGGAGATAAACATATCAGCCTCTCTCCTGCACACTTCAGAAACACCCACGAGATACTCCAGAAACATGGGTCTTCCAATGCAGCCCTTGGCATGTCTGTCAACTTGAATAAACTGAGAAGGGTAAAACAATCTAAGTCTTTTAACCTTCTCCAAACAGAACTTAATTTAAATAATTGTCAGGAAGAGAAATATGCATATTGATAATATTTTCTAAGTTCTGAAGCTTTGAGGGAGGAGTTATGTATTGTATGTTTTGTGTGCATATAGTTTGAAACGCCACTATCTTCCAAAGCATGAATACAAATTAACTAATTTGGGGAGAAAATAACTGAATAATTTGAACTAATGAACCTACAAATGAGATTATGTTATTTTTTTCTCAGCCCATCCCACAATTCAAAGTCTTACCTGTAAACTATGTGAAAGCCTCCAAAATCAAGAAAGTACACCTAATTGTTATCCTTCTCTATATCCATTAACATAAAAGTAAAGCATGCTGAAAGTGTGTGTCTTGTGTGTGTGAGAGAGAGAGAAGGAGAGGAGAGAGAGAGAGAGGGAGAGGAGAGGGGAGAGGGAGAGGGAGGGAGGATGGGGAGGGGGAAGAGAGAGGGGGAGAGAGAGAGAGAGAGAAGGAAGAGAGAGAGAGAGAGAGAGAATATCTATATGTGTATACACCCATTAGCCTATCCATCTTTTCAGAGTTCCTTGAAGAAGGCCTAAGTGTCATTGGGATGTGTTGTCTCCATAATACAAAAGGGACAGATTCTATTTTCAAAAAACCAAAAAAGTTTTCAGGCACCTAACATCTTGGATCCTTTGCTTCTTCAGCTGGAGGATATAAGTCATATTTCCAAGCTCACAGGAGCATTAGGAGGAAAAAATAAGATCACAGAGTAAAGAGGCACTCAGTAAAGGTGACTCTTCTCTTAGTTCAATAAAAAGCCTTTTTATATGGTGATTTTCCCTGTGTGACTTTTATTTATTTATCTATTTATTTATTTAATTATTATTTTTTTTGAGACAGAGTCTCACTCTGTTGCCCTGGCTAGAGTGCTGTGGCATCAGCCTAGCTCACAGCAACCTCAAACTCCTGGGCTCAAGCAATCCTCCTGCCTCAACCTCCCAAGTAACTGGGACTACAGGCATGTGCCACCATGCCCAGCTAATTTTTCTATATATTTTTAGCTGGCCAATTAATTTCTTTCTATTCTTAGTAGAGACAGGGTCTTGCTCTTGCTCAGGCTGATTTTGAACTCCTGACCTTGAGCGATCTGCCTGCCTCGGCCTCCCAGAGTGCTAGGATGACAGGCATGAGCCACCACACCTGGCCCCATGTGACTTTTAAAAAAATATTCCTCCAGATTTCCTGCCATGCCTTACCGAAATTTAGTAAAGAATAAATAAGACAGGTGCCATGCATTGAATTTCTACAATGTAGAAGTCTTTAATGCCTGCATTATGCCATGCCTGTTAAAGTAGTTAGGGGTGGTAGTGAGCTCATTTCTTTACATGGTTCCATAATATTCCAGAGTGGCATTTTCCTCCACTTTATATCACAAGAGTGTACAGCAGAGGAGAAGTGACTTACCCAAGATGCAGCATTCACTAACACGCCAAGGTTTTAATAACACCTTCTTCCTCTTCAAATCTTGTGTTGCTGGGGATCAAAGTACATAATCTCCAAAATTAACCTAGAACATTAAAATTGGTTGTTAACTTTTTCACATGAAAAAAGAGGATGATGTTTTTACTTAAACCATACTCCATGTGCTTCCATGGAAACTGTGCAATGAACTTCATTTTCACTAACTCATCAATTTAGCACACAGATGTGGTACTGAAGCCCACATATAATGGAGAGTGATACTTTATTGCAACATTTCCAAATGTTTCTCTATGATAGTCTTGTTATTCACAGTATGTCAAGGGCATTTCTTTTTTATGGAGGGAGTTGCTGGGAGTAAGAAAGAAACTAGCACATATTGATTGAGCACTGACCTCACTGTGCTCGATATTCTGTGTTGGCTACTTTATAGAAGATCTGTCTTTCACTCATGAACACCCCTCTGCTGTTTATAGCATCCTGGTTTTTTTAAATGTTGTTGTTGTTGTTGTTTTAATGACAAGTTCTTGCTCTGCTGTCCAGACTGGAGTACAGTGGCATGATCATACTTCACTGTAACGTCAAACTCCTGGACTCAAACAATCCTCCTGCCTCAGCCTTAGGGCTACAGGTACACACTACTACTCCTGGCTATTTTTTAAAATATATTTTGTAGAGATGGGGGTTTTGCTATGTTGCCCAGGCTGGGAATCCCCTTATTTATATAAAATTAATTGGACTAATTGAACTCTGAGAAGTTGGGTGCATTTTCTAAGGTCAACTTGCTCTTAAGAGGCTGAACAGAAACTCAAACCCATGTTTGCTAGCCTTTTAAACTTATCTTTTCCCCCTGTTCTATGACATCTTCTTGTTATTTACTTATTTATTTTTTTTGAGACAGAGTCCCGCTTTGTTGTCCAGGCTAGAGTGAGTGGTGTGGCGTCAGCCTAGCTCACAGCAACCTCAAACTCCTGGGATCAAGCAATCCTGCCGCCTCAGCCTCCCGAGTAGCTGGGACTACAGGCATGCGCCACCATGCCTGGCTAATTTCCTTATATATATATGAGTCGGCCCTTAATTCTTTCTATTTATAGTAGAGATGGGGTCTCGCTCTTGCTCAGGCTGGTTTCAAACTCCTAACCTCGAGCATCCGCCGCCTCGCCTCCCAGAGTGCTAGGATTACAGGCGTGAGCCACTGCGCCCGGCCTACATCTTCTTGTTCTTACATGGTGGTATTCCAAGCTTAAATAACTTTTCGTTGGGTATGCAAAATCATAAACAAATGTGTCATTATTATCTTGTTCCACATAGATATGTCAAGTCAGCAGATGCCTCTGAAGCTAAAGATTAGAAAAGAGATCTTGGCCAGAGAGATAGGTTTTTGCTGGTACTGCCTGGTACACGACACAACCCAATAAATAATTATTAAAATGGGGGATAAGATCCAGCAATCTCATTACTAGACATATACCCAAGGGAAAAAAAAGACATCTGCACTGGAATGTTTATAGCACCACAATTCACAATTGCAAAGAGGTGGAAACAACTCAAGTGCCCATCAATACATGAGAGGATTAATAAAATGTGGTATAACCATGAGTAGAACCATGGAGTTCTGCTCAGCCACAAAGAACAATGATGATCTAGCACCCTTTGTATTATCCTGGATAGAGCTGGAACCCATTCTACTAAGTGAAATATCCCAAGAATGGACAAACAAGCACCATATGTACTCACCAGAAAATTGGTATTAACTGATCAACACTTCAGTGCATATATAGTAGTAACATTCATGGGATGTCGGGCAGATGGGAGGGGGGAGGAGTGGATGGGTAGATACACACCTAATTGGTGCAGTGCGCACGGTCTGGGGGATGGACACACTTGAAGCTCTGACTCAGGTGGGGCAAGGACAATATACATAACCTAAACATTTGTACCCCTGTAATATGCTGAAATAAAAAGAAAGAAAGAAAAAAAGGAAATGAACCATGAATCACATTGTCACCGAAAATGAGCAATTCTAATTATTCTTTAATAGTAGGAATGAAGTAGAGTTTTTAATTTAAACTGGGAACAAACACTAAGCAGGCTCCATCTTTTAAGTGTTCTTTGCTTTCCTGATAAATGGTTGCTATCTGATTTTGAAGATGGGAAAAGCATAATTATCGAGATTTAATTCATGAATAAAACCACATAAGTTGGATATTGTTGGCTATTTAAAAAACCCACATAGGCCGGGCGCGGTGGCTCACGCCTGTAATCCTAGCACTCTGGGAGGCCGAGGCGGGAGGATCGCTCAAGGTCAGGAGTTCAAAACCAGCCTGAGCAAGAGCAAGACCCTGTCTCTACTTAAATAAAAAAATTATTGGCCAACTAAAAATACATACAAAAAAATTAGCCGGGCATGGTGGCACATGCTGTAGTCCCGCTACTCAGGAGCTAAAGCAGAAGGATTGCTTGGCCCAGGAGTCTGAGGTGCTGTGAGCTGGGCTGACACCACGGCACTCATTCTAGCCTGGGCAACAAAGCGAGACTCTTTCTCAAAAAAAAAATAAATAAATAAAAATAAAAAAATAAAAAACCCACATAAAATGACAAATCTTACACTTAGATTTTAATATTCAATTCTATAAGTGCTGAAAATTTAAATTTCAAGTGGTAACAGTATCAACTAAACTTTATCAAATATCTATACTGTCATACATGTTATTTCTACCATACAGAGTACATCTTTCAGAATCCAAATAAAACATTCTAATTTTAAAAAGACCAAAAAAGTAGGGGATAAAAAGAGAGAAGCCAAGGTAGAAAGATGAAAGAAAAGCATAAATGAAAAAATGAAGAAAGGAAATGCAGAATGAGAGTTATAATAAAATGCAACTGGGGGAATTTTTAGACAGAACTGAGATCACACTAGGAAGATTGTTTCATGGCCTGCCTTTTAAAAGCTTTTATTTCCCCATGTAAAACCAATGCCAGCATGCTTAAATATATTTAGAGATAAAAGTGTAAAGGAGAATATACAAATGCCTTATGATTTCATCAAATGGAAATATTAACTTTATTATTTTGGTGTGATTGCACAACTGGCTTTTCCATTCAACAGAACACATACACATACTTACAAGTCTGAGTCATTATTTTATTTTATTTTTTTGGTAGAGACAAGGTCTCACTAGTATGTTCCCAGAACTGGTCTTGAACTCCTGGCCTCAAGCAATCCTCCCACCTTGGCCTCTCAAAATGCTAGGATTATAGGCATGAGCCACCACAGCTAGCAAAATCTTTTTGTCTTAAAATTTATCTTATCTAATATTAGTATAGCCACTGCAACTCTCTTTTGGTTAAGATTTGCATGGAATATCTCCTTCCATATTTTTACTTTCAACCTGTTTGTGTCTTTGGATCTAGAATACTTCACTTATAGGTGGCACATAATTTAATTATTTTACAAAGGCTATTCTGCCAAAGTCTGCCTTTTAATTGGATAATTTAATCCATGTACATTAAATGTACAATATTACTGATATGGAAGAACTTTCATCTGCCATTTTGCTATTTGTTTTCTAAATATCATGTATATTTTTATTCCTCAATTACTCCTCCACAAATATTTCTTATGTTTAATAAATATTTTCTATTGTATCATTTTGATTCCCTTCTTTCTTTGACTGTATAATTTTTAGGTATTTTCTTAGTGGCTGTTTGGGAATTGCAATTAACATTTAAATTATAATGATATAACTCAAATTAATACCAATTTAGCTTCAATAGTGTACAAAATTTTTGTTCCTGCATAACTTAACCTCCCCTTTATGTTGCTGATGTTATGAATTACGTCTTTGTACACTGTGTACATCAACATAGATTTATAATTATACAGTAGTCCTTTAAATCACATAGGAAAAGTTAGGAGCTCCAAACTGAAAGTACAATAATAATACCAGCAATATGATGGAATAGGACACTCTGGTACTTGTTCCCCAAAAGAAACATCAAGTCAAACAAGTATATATGCACAAAAATAACTTCATGAGAGCTAAGGAAACCAGGTAAGAGATTATGTGCAGGTGGGTATAGCACCGAAATAAAAAAAGATGCATTGAACAGGGTAGGAAGGAGAGTTTTACACTATCTGTGTCAAACCTCCCCCAATTGCAGGTTGCACAGTGTGGAAGAGATATCATCTGCTCAAAGGAAGGAGATGGAAGTGAGCACCAGACTTTGTTTCCAGCCCCCAAACCAGGCTCTACACAGTAAACCCCAGGACTGAGCAGGCTCTCAAGGCCCCAGACTCCATGCTCATCCCCATAGGCTTCCAGGCTTGCCCTAGCACTAGTCTACATCCCACAGATCAAGGCTCCAGGCATGCTCTGTGGACTCAGTCTCTGGGGTTCCCAACCACCAGTCCAACCTTAGCAGCTTCAGGCTCCATACCACCCATAGAATCTGGCTGGCCTCATGGCCTCAGGCTTCGGGACTGTCCGAACACTAGGATGGCTCCCATAGCTTTAGTTATCAGGCAGGCACCTATGGGCTCACCCTCCAGGCTGACACCTGTGGATACAGGCTCAACGCTCATCCAGTGCCAAACCAGTTTCTGCTACTCCAGGCTCCAGGCCCACCCCAGTGCTAGGTCAGCACCTCTGGCCTCAAGCACTAGGTGGGCACCCATGGACATAGGCTTCAGGCCTGCTCAGTGTCAGGCTGGTCCCTGTTGGCCCATCCTCCAGACTGGTCCCTGTGGCTCCATGCTCCAGCAGAGCTAGAGTCCAACTCTGCTCCAGCAGACCTAGGGTGAGGCCTGTCCCGGTAGACCCCACTATTGGACCACCCCCACAATCCCAGGCTTTAGGACTGATTCCATGTACTCAGATCTCAGGTGGGTCCTTGAGGCCCCAGGACACAAACCAGGCAACAAAGATTTTAGGCCAGCACTTACAAACCCATTCTCCAGGCTGGCACCAATAGACATAGGCTCCAGGACCACCTTTGTATACTCAGGTCCCAGGTGGGCTCCTGAAATTTCAGGACACAGAACAACCCTTATGAACGTAGCCTCTAGGTCAACATCTATACACCCAGCCTCCAGATGGTATGAGTGAACTAAGGCTCTAAGCCAGTATCTGCAGCCCCAGACTCCAGGCCAGCCCCAGTGGCTCCAGGCACCAGGCCAGTGCCTGGGATTCTTCAGACCAGCCCTTCCAGACCAAGCACCAAGCTGTCCCAGGATCCAGGCTGGTACCAGTGGCCTTAGGCTCTAGAGGACCCAGACCCCAGGTTTATCCCAGTAGAACCCCATGCCAGACAAGATCCCATGGACTGAGGCTCCAAGACCGCCCCTGCAGACCCAAGCTGCAGGCCATCCCTAATGGACTCAGGACCCAGATCCATCCCCATGGACTTAGTCTCCAGGTCCATCTAGTGGATCTAGGTGCCAAGCCCATCTCAGTTCTTGGCTGGCCCCTGAAGACTCAGGCTCAAGGCTTACCCCAGTGCCAGGTTAGCCCCTGTGGATCCAGGCTTCAGGCCAGTCCCCATGGATACAGGTTCCAGGCCCACCCACCTGCTGACTGAGGCACCAGGTCAGCCTGCTTGAGGGCTCCAGCAGCAAGCTGGCCCTTGGAATATGCCAGATGGTTTGTCTAGAATTTGTGGAGAGGCAGACTAATGAAAGTCTTTCCTAGACAAAGCCAGTCTGCAAAGAATAGAATAAGTCCTAATTTCTTTGAATGTGTAGACATTAAGGTAACAAGAAACATGAAAAACAAGGAGACATAACACCACCTAAATAACACCATAGTCTCCCAGTATCTGACACCAAAGAAATGTAGATATATGAACTATCAGACAAAGAATTCAAAATAATTATTTCAAGGAAGCTCAGTGAACTTCAAGAAAATAAAGAGAGCTGGGTGCAGTGGCTCACATCTGTAATCCTAACATTATAGGAGGCTGAGATGGGAGGATTCCTTGAGGCCAGGAGTTCGAGACCAGCATGGGCAAGAGCAAGACCTAGTCTCTATAAAAAATAGAAAAATAATTAGCTAGGTGTGATGGCACATACCTGTAGTCCTAGCTACCAAGGAAGCTGAGGCAGTAGGATCACTTGAGCCCAGGAGTTTGAGGTTGCAGAGAGCTATGATGACACCACTGCACTCTAGCCCAGATAACAGAGAGAGACCCTGTCCTGAAAAAGAAAGAGAGAGAGAGAGAGAGAGAGAGAGAGAAACAATTTTTAATGAAATCAAGAAGCTAATATATGGCAAAAATATTGAACAAAAAGATTAAAATTATGGTAAAACCTAGAAATTCTGGAGCTGAAAAATAGAATGAATGAAATGAGAAATATGACAGAGAGAACCAACAGCTTAATCGATCAAGCAAAGCAGAAGAGTCTGAGAACTAGAATACAGTTATTTGAAAATATGCAGTCTGACAAATGGCAAACATATGAAAAAATGCTCAATGTTGATGCTGGGGCATGCAGTGATCTCGGGTAACACCCCTCCCCCAGCCCACTGACTTTCATGCCAATGAGGCGAGTTCCACCCTTGGAGGTGGGGAGAAGCGACAAAAGCTGCTTTCTGTGTGCGACTGGTGTGAATATGCAGGGCCTTGGTGCTAAGCAATAGGGATCAGCCTGTCAATTCGGTCTACTGGATTGTCAGGCATCCTCAAACTATGGCCCGCGGGCCACATGCGGGCCTTCTAGCACATTTATCTGGCCCTCCAGGTGTTTTTACTGCTGCTGCCTGTACTGCTTAGCAGCCGACTCATCCCGGGCCCACAGTGCACACTCTCCAATGGTCTGAGGGACAGAACTGGCCCCCTCTTTGAAAAGTTTGAGGACCCCCGGCTTAGATCATCTGACAAGAACATAACTCTAGGGCTCGCTGTCTGCATCTGAGCTGCTGCCAGCTTTGGAGTTTGTGGACTAGGAAGGAAAGTCCTGGCCAGAGTCCTCAGCAATTGTACCAACTGACTCCGCCGCATCAGGAGCAGCCTCCCAAGTGTGGCAAAAGAGCCCTGAATAACACATTAGCGACTCCCCCTAGCAGCAGATCAAGCAACCATAGAAGCATACACACTCAGGCTTGCAGGCATCAGTTGTGATCTATCTTGCCCTTACCCACCTAAAGGGGGAATAGGGTTCAAGTAACCATCAGGAGTGGCAAGATCCTTCCCAAAGATTGGGGCATTCTTATACCCCATTCAGGGGACCAGAGCCCAACACAGAGGCATCAGATTATCTTGTTAACTGGCTCCTCCATGCAAACTACAATCAACAACAGAGAGGGTAATCGCATAGCTCAACAGTGCCTTCCATCTCAAGCTATTAGAGGGCAGTGGAGTCATACACACAACTGTGATTCACGACTGGGAGCTTAAGCTTTGGGGGGCCAAACTCACTAATCTCCATTGGCAAGAGATGAAGACAATAGGTCAGAGATAACCCAACTTGCTAAAACACCTCTAAGGCAATATAGGACCAGCACGCCTCTTCCCAGCACTGCCAAGGTACGCCCCTTTGGAGACATGGAGATAGGGCCATAAACCAGTCCTAGTACCCCCAGTTCTCGACCAAGTAGCCTGATGAGAAAGAATCAGTGAAAGAACGCAGGAAACATGAAAGAACAGAGAGAAAAGTCACCCTCAAAAGAAATCATTAGGCTCTCAAAAACAGATACCAATTTAAATGAAATGATTAAAATGACAGAGGAAGAATTCCAAATATGGATTGGAAGAAAACTCAATGGAATTGAAGAGAAAATAGAAACCCAACACAAAGAAGCCACAAAAACAAGGCAGGAAATGAATGAAAAATTCTCTAAAGAAATCGAAATATTACAAAAAAACGAACAGAAATTCTGGAAATGAAAGAAGTATTTAAGGAACTACAAAACACAGTGGAAAGCCTTAAGAATAGAATGGATTACACAGAGGAAAGAATCTCAGAGCTTAAAGATAATGCCTATGTGCTAAACAAATCAGATGAAGAAAAAGAACACAGAAGCAAGAGACAAGAACAAAATATACAAGAAATGTGGGATTATGTAAAGAAACCAAATATAAGAATTATAAGTGCCCCAGAGAGAGAAGAAGAAAATACACAAAGGCTGGAAAATCTATTTCTTGGAATACTGCAGGAAAATACACTGGCCTGGCCAGAAATCTAGATATCCAGACATAAGAAGCACACAGAACTCTTGGGAGACTCAATGCAAAAAGGCAATCACCATGTCACACAGTTATCAGGCTGGCCAAAGTAAACACAAAAGAGGCAATCCATTAAACAGTAAGACGAAAACAGCAGATAACTTACAAAGGAAAACCTATCAGACTAACTGCAGAATTCTCAACTGAGACCTTACAAGCCAGAAGGGACTGGGCACCTATGCTCAATCTTCTAAAACAGAAAAATGGCCAACCCAGAATTCCTTACTCAGCAAAACTAAGCTTCATCTATGAGGGAGAAATAATTTCTCATACAAGCCAACACTGATGGAATTTGTAAAGACCAGACCTGCCCTGCAGAAAGTACTTAGACCTGCATTATACGCTGAATAGTACAACAGATACCCACCAAAGTAAAATCTCTCAAGAGTTAAAGTCCAGAACCCGGATTCTACAATGGCTTGACAGGTAAAACAAAACAATAAGAATTTATCCAACAATATGAATAGAAATCTACCCTAAATATCAATTCTCTCAATAAATGTGAATGGCTTGAATTGTCCTATCAAGAGACATAGACTGGCTGAGTAGATGAAAATTCATAAGCCAAGTATCTGCTGTCTCCAGGAGACGCATCTAATGCACAAAGATGCTTTCAGACTCAAGGTCAAGGGTTGGAAAACAAACTTCCAGGCAAATGGAAGCCAGAAGAAAATGGGAGTGGCTGTACTTATTTCAGACTACATAAATTTTAAAATAGCAAAAGTAAAGAAGGACAAAGATGATCACTATATAACGGTAAAAGGAAAAATCCAACAAGAAGGCTTAACAATTCTTAATATTTATGCATCCAACACAAGAGCACACAGATACATAAAGCAAACCTTATTCTATCTAAACAGCATAATAAACAGTAATGCCATAGTAGCTGGGGATTTCAACACCCCACTGACTGGACAGATCTTCCAAACAGAAAATAAGCAAAGAAATAATGGACTTAAACAGAGCTCTACAACAAAAGGGTCTAACAGACATCTACGGAACATTCCACCAAATAAAGCCAAATATACACTTTTCTCATAAACTTATGGAACTTTCTCCAACATTGATCACATCCTAGGTCAAAAATCAGACCTCAACAATTAAAAAAAATAGAAATTATACCACGTATCTTCTCAGACCACAATGGTATAAAATTAGACTTCAATTATAACAAAAATACTCACCACTTCACAAAGTCATGGAAATGAAACAACCTATTGCTGAATGACTATTTGGTCAAGGAGGAGGTCCAGATGGAAATCAAAAGATTCTTTGAACTAAATGATAATGAGGTCACAAGTTATCAAAATCTGTGGGATACAGCAAAAGCATTCCTGAGAGGAAAACTAATAGCATTAAATGCTCACATCCAAAGGACAGAAAGCTCACAAATCAACAAACTAATAAACCATCTCAAGGAACTGGAAATGGAATAGCAAATTAATTCTAAACCTAGTAGAAGAAATAAATAAGATCAAAGCAGAACTAAAAGAAATTGAGAACTACATGGAAGATCAATAAAACCAAAAGTTGGTTTTTTGAAAAGAGAAACAAAATGGACAGCCCTCTTACTAAATTTACAAGAACTAGAAAGGAAAGGACTCTAATAAATTCAACTAGAAATGAAAAAGGAGAGGTCACTACAGACATCATGGACATACAAAACATTGTCTTTGAATACTATAAAAATCTATATGCCCCAAAATTACAGAACGTCAAGGAAAAAGATAAATTCTTGGAAACACACAACACCTCCTTAAGTTCAATCAGGAGGAAACAGAATTCCTGAACAGACCAATATCAAGCACAGAAATTGGAGCAGCAATCAAAAACCTTCCAACAAGAAAAAGTGGATTAGATGGGTTCACACCTGAATTTTACCAAACCTACAAAGAAAAACTCATACCTATACTGCAGAAATTATTCTACAACATTAAGAAAGATGGTATCCTCCCCCAACTCTTTCTAGAAAGCCAATATTTACTGATGGAAATGGCTGAAAAAAAAATAAAAAAAAAATAAAAATAGAAAGCCAATATCACCTTGATACCAAAGCCAGGAAATGACACAACAAAAAAGGAAAACTACAAATTAATATCCCTAAAGAATATAGATGCAAAAATCCTCAACAAAATCTTAGCAAATCGAATAAAGGAGCACATCAAAAAAATAATTCAAGGCCGGGCGCAGTGGCTCACGCCTGTAATCCTAGCTCTCTGGGAGGCCGAGGTGGGCGGATTGCTCGAGGTCAGGAGTTCGAAACCAGCCTGAGCAAGAGCGAGACCCCGTCTCTACTATAAATAGAAAGAAATTAATTGGCCAAATAATATATATAGAAAAAATTAGCCGGGCATGGTGGTGCATGCCTGTAGTCCCAGCCACTTGGAAGGCTGAGGCAGAAGGATTGCTTGAGCCCAGGAGTTTGAGGTTGCTGTGAGCTAGGCTGATGCCACGGCACTCATTCTAGCCTAGGCAACAAAGCAAGACTCTGTCTCAAAAAAAAAAAAAAAAAAAAAAATTCATCGTGACCAGGTGGGCTTTATCCCAGAGAGGCAAGGCTGGTTCAACATATGCAAATCCACACATGCAATTCACCACATAAATAAAAGCAAGAACAAAGACTATATGATTCTCTCAATAGATGCAAAACAAGAATTTGCCAAAACCCAGCAAAGCTTTATGATAAAAACTCTTAACAAAATAGGCATAGATGGGACATACCTTAAAATTATTAAGGTCATATCTGATAAACCCACAGCCAATATCATACTGAATGGGAAAAATTAAACACATTCCCACTTAGTACTGGAACCAGACAAGGCTGCCCACTATCTCCGCTTCTATTCAACATAGTGCTGGAAGGCCTTGTCAGAGTGATCAGA